TTCATGAGTATAAAATTCATCAGCATGAAAAAATATTTAAACGGGAATAAAAAAACACTGCACCTCAATATCCTACCTTATTAGATCGTTTTGATTTTTGGAAGACAAAACCAAAGAAATCACGCTCCAAAAATCATTCTTGTTGCTTCAAGAATTTATATTGTTTGAAATTGACTTTCTATTTTAAATTCCAATACCACATGTATAAGTATCTATAAATTTTTTTAAGGTATAAAGTAATATTCCTTTTGCACTACATAAATATGGAGTCTGTAATTTACCTGATTTCAACACTCTTCTTTCTCTACAACCGTGTGCTTATACATATGACTTCTTTTGATATACATCTATAAATATATCCCACATGATCTATTCTAACAAAGTGGGTGTATAATTGGGGATACGTGTAATAGTAGGATAGAAATATGGATAAATTTGGAAAACGAACTTTTTGAAATAAAATAATTGACCAAATCTTGTCAACCAACTTTATCACTCAACAAGCAATATTTCTCCCACAGGTAGCAAACAAATTGAAACTAGAATAAATAAAGTTTCTTTCTCTCTCTCACGTGGTCCCTTCTCTCTCTCTTCTTTTATATGTATTATTATTATTATTATTATTATATCTTTATTTGGATAAAAATATTCAATCATAATCTACCCAAGAATCTTCTCTATTCACGTGACTTAAAGAAGGGAGACTTAAATTCATTAAATGATAAATTTAAATATAATTTTAAAGTTATATCTTTCGACCTCGATAACTTGAGTTCCACTAATCCAAATTAACCTTTTTTCGAGCCTAACATGCATGATTAATTATGACCTATCCAACAAGCCCAATATTTATATACTTATTATCCCTCCTTCATTATCTACATTTTAAGCCAAATAAAATCGAAATTTACTTTATATATACTTTAATCCCTCAACTTTCAAAACATTAAGATATAGTGTACAAAAATTCAAATTCTTTTAAATGAAATTTCAGGACATTATAAAGGAGAGGGGTGATCTTGGGAGGACATGTAATAAGAGAATAGACCAAAATCAATAAGGTTGATGCAGTTGTAAAATATTAATTTCATTGGATACTTGCCTCAAATTGGTGTTTGCGAGATAAATATAATTCTTAAAATAATATATGTAAATTCAAAATTTTACCTTATTTTGTAATCACACATTCTCCAAGAATAACTATTCTAAAATATATTTTTCTCAAAAATTTATTTTTAATGGAGCCCAAACAGGGGCTTAATCATGTCCTATATTTATTCCGGTGAGTAAAGTTACAGATGTTTCTTAGTATAGAGACCATATTGGATGCTGGTTACAGTATGAGGAGAATTTATTTGGTTACTCTATAAGTACCAACGATTTGGCTCATCTAAGTTTCTTCCATTTTCCAGCCTCATCGTGTAATGAAATTTCGTAATAACAATGATCTTCAATTGATTGTTCGGGCACATGAACGAGTGATGGATGGATTTGAAAGATCTGCTCAGGGCCATTTAATTACTCAATTTTCAGCCACAAACTACTTGCTACTGCGATGTGTCCCTGAATGATTAAATATTTACTCATGGCTTGACTCTTTGTTTTTTACCCCAGGGAGGTGTACTATTATTTTCTCCTGCTTTTGGAGGATCCAAGTTCCCTGTACGCGATCAATCTGCTGTGCACCTCATATTTTATATCATTATTGGACAATTTAAAATAAAATAATTTTTTCATCCAATCAATTTTTGACAACATGGATAATGACAAACATGATGTAAATAAAGTTATGTACAAATGACATAATTCATACGTGATTGGTGATATATATACCATGTTAAGATAGCGTTCATTCATGTATAATGCAAATGTGTTATTTGTGTTTTACAGAACAGTGTATCACTCGAGTGAAGATACTTATTTAATTGTACATTTTATTTAATGCTATAATAATGTCACTTAGATTGATGTTTTAACCATCGATGCTAAATAGCATGAGGTCCCGCGGTGTGGCCGACCTGATGTGAGGCTTTTGTTTTTCTTCTCTGAAGATAATCCTGTTTGTACAGAATTATCCTATTTATAATAGGGGAGTAGCCCGTCTGCTTGATTGTCATTGATTTGTTGTCTACCAGTTATTTGTTTAAACGTAGCAATGGCAGCATCCCGGGGTTGGCTCCCGGTGGGTTTGGGGCCCTTGACAAGAAGCTGTAATGGTGGATCTTTCTCAGGACAATAATAAATATGAAAACGCAATCTTGGTGCAGATTTTTAGCTGAATCAATATTGTCACGAACTTGAAATTTTCGAGCATGGTATCAGGCAAGACTATACTATAACAGCCATTAAGCAGCCGTTACACCATACAGGCAGTATACATCGTGGCATGTTAATTGGGATAGGTACAATAATTGTAAGCACTACACTTCCAGAGCCTTCTCAAGCAGTACCATAATCGGTTAATGATCAATGAGCAGGTGTCCACGATAATCAACCTCTTTTCACAGGTCTTTGAACATAGGATTTGTTTGGATCCTCCGTCTTGAGCTTTGGAGGCCGAATCTCACCTTTCTTGACCTGTACAAGTGCAAAAATGAAATTGCTTTTGAAATGTAATAAATACTCCTTGCACAAGCACCCTAAATGAAAGAAGCAGTCTCACCTTCTTTCCACCTTTCATGAAGTCTCTCCAACTGGAAACCTGACGATAAAATAGAGGCAATCAACTAAAAAGAAATGAAGCTCAATTCATGGAAAGTAATGATCCTATATCGAATCAAATGAACAAGAAGATGCAACTTCTAGTCCAAATTCTTTGGGAAAAATGTCCATGCAAATATCAAGTCCCAAGAGAGATGCTACCTCAGGGCAAAGCATCTGGGAAGAGGCAATTTTGTTCAATTTCACCAATACGGCAATGTTCAAATTACTTACCCAGTGTTGAAAAAGGCAGAGTGGGGGAAGGATGAGAAATGTTGATCCACTAATGAAACAAACATTCACTCATACTTTTTGCAGCAAGGCCAACATAAAGGACATTTCTTTTGAAGTTCGATGACTCTGTGGTCAACTTTTATTTTCACAAGGGTGCACTGCATGGGTTTTAAATCGATAAAGAAAGAAACAAAGGTTTCAACAAGAGAACATGCCTACTTGGTATTTTTAAATATTCACAGCACAAATGGCATATGGAACAAAAACAAACAGCCTTGACAACAAAATTTCATTGGAACATGACGCACGTTGAATAAGAATACAACCATGCAGAACCAGGTCCGCCAACAATACCAACTCATATTGCATGCTAGAACAAGATATAACATGGATAATTCCATAAAATGATGTATTTATGAAACTATATCCTTAAGAATACGTGCCGACAGACCAAGCTTCAACGATTCTTAATCATATTGCATGCTATTCCAAGTTATAACATGGATAATAATTCCATAAATTAGGTATATATGAAACTAACCCTCTGTTCTCTAGTCCCTTCCCATTGCTCCTCGTGTTCGCGCTTTCGTTTCCACATCTCTTTAGTTTCTTCCTCATCCTTCTTTAATCTACCTTCCTCCTCTGATATCTATAAAATTCAAAAATAGAATGTTTTATGTAGTAAGAAATCATCAGAGGTAGAACAAGTGCAGTGGTGATCATACCCTCATCTGCATTTTCCTTCTCCTCCATTCTTGATCTGTTAAGAGTTCACGAACTTTTAATTTTAGTTGCCTCTGGAATTCCTCTGACCGTTCATATTCTTGCTCGTATTTTCCCTGTATCACGTTTTATTGACAAATGGGTTGTTTGTCATCTAGTCATGCATCTTCTTATAGTTATAAAATCCAAACACAAATTCGCAAGATGCAACCCTTGTTCGGGCTCCATTTTAATGAGATTTTGGAAAAAAGGTATTTTGGAATAGTAATTTTTTTGAAGAATGTTCAGTTAAAAAGTAAGAAAAAGTTTTATATTTACATGTAATATTATTTTATTGAAAAATGTGTGGTTGAAAATGAAGAAAGAGAAAAATGCAGTAAGTTAAAATGGAGCCCAAACAGGGGTGCATTCTCTTTCTTGCCGATCAACAATAACATGTTAGATAGTATGATGACTAGCGAAAGGTGAAGAATACACACATTCAGGGACGAAAAAGCAGATAAACTATCGAAGCTTGTATCTTTCCATGAATATTATTCAGGACTTTGGGTGGTAAAAAACATAAATTTGAAAAAATACTCAAGAAAGCAATCTTGGTGCCAATCAATTACCTCATCCACTAATGACTTCAATTTACTAGCAGTATCTTTTTTCAGCTGTTTCTTCCTCTTTGCTCTAAGCTCTTCTGCGCTCCATATTTAAAACAGTGAGCCTTCTTCAAGATTACTCATTTATTACATAATTACATAAGTAAAAGCAATAAAAAAAAAAATAATAATAAAAAGAGAAAAGCGGAATCCACAAGATGACCGTGTTCATGGAAGAGGGAGGGGGAGGGACAGAGAGAGGGGTTCAACCCAGCATACAAAAATAATCAAGGACACATAAAGATGATAATGATGATTACAGATTTGACCCTTTCAGTAGCTGTGGCATATATCTACTCAAAATCACTCTCCTCGAGATCTTATTTGAGTCAGCTTTAAGTAAGCAGATGTTGTGTTGCCGACAATTGTGGTCTGCAATAGGCGGCACAACAAAAAACTAAGAGAGCTCAAGAGTAGCCCAAGCAAGACAGAACGTGCTAGGCCCGGAAACATGAACAAGATTGCCACTATGTTGACCATGGCAGAAACTAGCATTAATAATAGTCGATTTGAAACGAAGATAAAATAGACTACACATCACCCAGAGAAATTTAAGTAATGTTGCACGTGAAAAAAGAATGATTATCAATGAAAAGGAGAAAAAAAAAATGTAAGGGTAAGTTGAGTGAGAGAAAGTACATGTCACAACATTTACAGCATTCAATGAAAGGGAGAACAAAAATGTAAGGGTAAGTTGAGTGAGAGAAAGTACACGTCACAACATTTACAGCATCACAGCAAAAAATTTGAAAACTTAAAAGTTCTTGAGGGAAAAATAAAATGGGGCTATTATGTGAGATTAGAAGGAAGAGAGAAACTCAAGGATTCCACTACCAGTTCAACCAAAAGATGATGGGAAGGGAGTGGAAAGCAAACAACATAACAGAGGAGAAAGTTGGGATTTGAGATTGTTATTTGTTACCAGGAATGGAACTACCAAGGCTAGGGAGCATCAATAAGATAACAAAAGATAAAAGATCACCCAATAACAAATTGCGAGAAAGGGAAAAAGCAGCTTCTTAGAACAAATCTTTACCTCCTAACTCAAGACTATTGGACTTTTGGGTGCATAAATCGACTTTTATGGTTGGCACTTCCAAGTTTCTCAAAATAATAATTTCTGAAATAATGGGTTTGTGCATTTTATACAGGTTTTACACTTGCTGGCACTAGATCAATCAAACAATACTCAATGACAAACAAAGATATAATTCAACTTTATATACTTAAAGATGCACAGTGAAAAGATCTCGTCACTCAATGAAAAACAAAGATATAATTCAAGTTTATATACTTAAAGATGCACGGTGAAAAAATCTCGTCTCTGAACTGAGAATATCAAGCCCTAAAGAAGCGATAACATTTAACACAAAAAAGTAACTTTCTAACAGGAATAATGGTAAACATGGTGTAGCCATTGAAAAATCAGCTAGCACAAACCTTTTGCTGCATTAACTTGGTTCAAAAGATATTCCCTCTCTGAAGGATCATGTAATATTTGTTGAGCTTTTGCCAATGCTGAATAATAGACAAAGATAATGTCAGTTTTCACAAATTTTGAAGACAAAAATAAGCTAAATAGAAAGTTTGAATTATATCTGTGTCTTGTCCCGGTAGTAAAGAATGGAATAGAAATAGTAAACTAATAATATGATGTTATGTTGACATGGAACTAATCTTTGAAATTATATTATCACGAAAGGAGCAAAAATTACTTATTAATATACCATCTCCACCCAAAGTCACATTTTGATCAACTATTGTATCTGCTTATAAATATACCATCTCCACTCAAAGTCACACTTTGATTAACTACTGTATCTATGATAGTGATTAGCACTATCGCCAAAATGCTAACTATTTCCACCTCCTCGAAGAGCAGTTTATCCATGGAACAAGTACATAAACAAACTTAAAAATGCATATCCTAACAGTAAACAGTAACACCATGCCTGAAATATCATTGAACTTTCCAAATTGTGCGCTATATCTCAAATAATGAAAAGCCTACAATCACAGAATTGGACCATTGGATTGGTTGAACTGGAATAAAATGTTGGAAAATAAACTGCTTTTGGTTCTCCCAAAAAGTCGACTACTATTTTTGACAGATAATTCTCACTAACTGAAAAGGAAAAACAAAATCACTGAATAGAGAAACATTCTTTCACAGCATAGACACACCATGGAAACAAAGTCATCATCAGTTAGAAACATTTACAGAGGTCATATACAGTGGACTAAATCCATAATCACATATTTCCTACCAAAACAAGAAGAGACTTACTTACCACCAAATGCCTCCTTTGCTTGCGGATGTTTGCATTTATCAGGGTGAACTAGCAAAGATAACTGGAAGAAAATGAATTAATGTTAAATCACGTTTCAAGAAAGTTCATGAATGATCAACAGAAGTGGTCATTTGATATGATGAAAAGATCACCTTACGATATTGCTTTTTCACTTCGTCTATAGATGAATCAAATGGTAGGTTAAGATATTCAAAGGCATTCAGTTTGAAGCATGACAGGATCCTACAGCAACCCAAAAGCGACAAAGATATGTCGGCAGAAGATGTAGAAATCAGAAAGAAAAGCCGTACGTGTGTGTGTGTGTGACTGCGTGTCATTTTTTCTCTTTGTTTAGGAACGCATGTACTGTACTGTACAAGTAGAAATCATAAATTGAAAGGATCAAGAAAAACCAAATGTAAAAGAGAATTCTAGAAAGATACAAGCCCCCTTTAAGCCCTTGTTTGAGCCCCATTTTGGAGGATAAAATGAATTTTTGAATAGTGCATTGATGGGAAGTGTGTGGTTAAAAAATAAGAAAAAGTTTTTGATTTGCGTATAATATTATTTTATTGAAAAATGTGTGGTTGAAATGGTGTCAAATCACTGTTGAAAAATGTATTTTGGTAGAAAAATGGGGCTCAAACAAGGGCTAAAATATTTAATATCCAAAATCAATTTAGCCAACTATTTTATTTTGCATTTAAATTGGTCTTTTTCATATTGTCTATCAGTGATATTTTAGCAAATTTTAGAGATTTATAATATTAATCTTGTGTAAGATCTCTATTCAGTTCAGTTGTCAGTTCAACTAGTTTCCTTATAAGGAGTCTATGTCCTGATAGGAACAGAGAATTTGTGGAGTCTATACACATGAGTGCACCTTTCCTTCATTAAGTAGACATTTAGATGTTGATTGAGCTCTTGAAGCCTTTCTTGTGATTGTAGGACACAATCCATATCGAGTTACCATGGAGTTCTAGTGAGATGCATTCCTCAGAATTATGATACCCATCTTAAATTCCTATAATCAGAACCCTCCAAGGTTGTTGACATCAATTATTGTGTAAATATACGAGTGTTTTTGAACCAGATTTGTTAATTTAGTAAGCATTGTGCTAATATTTGCACACGCATAAGTATCCATGTCAACACATTCAACTGAAAAGATATGGAAGAGCTGAGCAATTCTACCACCCCATCTCCTCTCATAAAAGAAAATGCATAGCCAGTCCTCCCACGATTTTACAACCACCACAACTGATTGGTGCACCAAAATGCAATTATCTTACACCAAAAAGGTCACTTGCCACAAAAAGTCCCAACAACAAATATTCAATCAAGGACCCACCAGGTAAAATAAAGACCGCAAAATTTCAAATAGGTGGTGCCTGGCAGCTACACTTCATTGCCTAAAATCCAATAGTTCAAAAAATCAGCACATAAGTTAGCCATTTGTCACTCAATCTACATACTTATGTTATCATATTTTTGTATACTAGGTTACTTATTACTTAAAAATTTTGAGAAGAAATGGAGGTAAGTGATGTTAATGATCTGATGTGTCGATCAATCATCTTAAGGTCCAGATATATGAGGTGTTTAGCTGTACTCTTCCCTTTAATTGCAATAACTATCTTGCCTCCATTTTGAGGTGGCACGATCACTGTCTAACATTAAGAAAAACCACTGTAGTGCCCATGAAGATGTGTAATTTACAAACACATATATATCGCTACTCCTGGCAGCAATTTTTGAAGAAGAAATTAAAATCTTAATAAGGCAAAAATCTGTCTAATGATGGAAAAAATCCTTCCATGAAACCATTAATTTTAAGAGTTGTTTACAATATTATGCATCTCATAAAATGGAATGTATCAGCAGGAACGAGTAGCAGCATGTACAGATCATTCAGCGATGAAAGAAATTTTCATGTACAGATATTTTCCTCAGGAGGTCCAATGGGTGGCTGCGCTGGGTGCATGAACATTCTATGAAGCAGACACCTAAGACAATAAAACTATTACTCTTAATGGACGACCAATGATGACAATCAAAAAGCTTAACCCCTTGAATCTTCCTTCACTGATCTCAGAAAATGGGGACACCATTTACAATAATCAATCAACAGGATGTCAAATAGGCAAGCTTGAAATGCCACATCCTCCTATGCGGCTGGGTGCATGAACATTCTATGAAGCAGACACCTAAGACAATAAAACTATTACTCTTAATGGACGACCAATGATGACAATCAAAAAGCTTAACCCCTTGAATCTTCCTTCACTAATCTCAGAAAATGGGGACACCATTTACAATAATCAATCAACAGGATGTCAAATAGGCAAGCTTGAAATGCCACATCCTCCTATGAGGCAGTTCTGTTCTCATAAATAACTTTTCACAACTTTGACTCTAGTCTAGAGCATGAATGATCAGAAAAATCAAACCACCACCACAATTGCCATTGGCAGTGGCACTGCTATAATAATCTCCAAAAATGAAGATTCGAAGCTCAAAAATTCAACGTTTTTTTTTTTTTTTTCCCGAAAACCCCCAGAATTTTGGGTCCCGCCATCATCCTGAAGGCAAATTATCACTACACCTGCACTCACTTTAAAAGAATTCAAGATTGAATTTTTAACTTCATCAATCAAACCAAACAATAGGGTACCATTATCATTTTTCCTTTGTACAAATACATGGGAATTACTCCCAAGTTTAGTATTGAATAAAATAACACTTTCTTGAATTCACTGGAACACCAACAATTATCGTACCTATTAACAAGTCTACACAATCATCTCAAACACTCTAATACTCCTGTATCCCTACATGGAATCATCCCCAGAATTTGTCCTTTTCCATATATCTCAGACTTCGTCGTTCAAAAATTTCTCCTTTTCTATTTTTCTTAAGAATTTGGAGTTCATATTCTTACAATCTAACAGCGTAGGCCTTAACCATAGTCTCATTCATTTCACTCAAAATATAAAGTCTTCTTGTTCTTTCAATATATTTTTAGATATTTACAAACCAAAGAACAAAACACAACCTAATTGATACCAATTAAACTAAACTTTTTTACCATCATAAATCCATATCGATAAACGCGTAAATAAAAAAAATAAAACCTGTTGACTTCGTTATCTCGCTCAACCTCGCTGACTTCGGCGAAGAATTGCTTGAGAAGTAAATCGTCTGCGGCGGTGTAATTGGCTCCACTGTTGTCTCCCATCGGGAATCGATGAAAAATATTTGCTTTCTTTCCCAAAATAAACTGGAAATATGTATAATTCGGATTTGAGCCTTACAGTTTGGGGCTGGTAGGCCCAAACCGTCCCCTAGTATTGATAGCCATATCTGGTGACTTCTGATTCTTTAAAAGTACATTTTTTAAAATTTATTTTTAATTATATATTCTCTAAACAATATAATTTTATACACAAATTCAAAATATTTTTCTATATTTAAATCATATTGTTTCGCGCGGGTAGTCGCTAACAATTAAAAAGGAGTCAGACGATTGTGTAAGGGACAAACCTCTTGAGACAAAGTCCCAAAAAGGGGTGTTTTATTGGTAATGACTTTACAATTGGAATTTAAACAGAAATGCCTCCAAGAGGCGCAAGCACACGAGTACTGAAAATGAATGTTTTAAGTTTAAATTAAGAAATTGAAATTACATATTCTCTGTTTGAGAGTGTTTGATTCGGGTTCCTTTGCTCTATGT